GAATTCAACAACGCATCTCTGCATTGAAGTAATTTTCATAAATTAAACAGCATTTTTAAACATATCCTGACGGCGGAGGAATTAGTCCAAAGCTTTCGATTGTTCTCTTAAATGATCACAGACTGGTGGACGGTGACAAGTCGTGTCACCAAAGGCTTAAGCACACCTCATACATCAGCCTGGGACACAATAACGGAGGCGGTGGGCTGTTTTTTTCCTGTGATAATTATATGGCTTTACGCTGGTGTATTAAATTCAAACACGGTGCTGCTTCTCTCAGTATCCCCACCAAACAGTTTCCCACTCACTGTCCCGGAGCCGATGTCACTGTTGGGCCGACAGCTTGTCATCAAAGAGGGGCGAGCGGGTTAAGCCCAATATAACGCACCGTGGGAGATCATCCAGAGCTCGACGTGGTTCGTTCTGAATTCACTCTCAGATCTTGACCTTGTGATGAAAACATATTTCTACTCTCTCTCAAGTTTTCTGTGCATCACGTGACATAAACAAACAAAAAACAAAACAGTCCAATCAGAGGAGACTCAAACTTAATGTGATATCAGGAAGCCTTTAGAGTCAGCTACTGTTAGTGTCTACAGTATCTGAGGCTTCTTTAAGTAGCATTTCACACCAACTAATTATCAGTGATATTCCTTCATGCATTTGCAGACAGGGTGAAATTCCTGACACATCCTGAAGAATTAGAAACCATTGTTCCCCCTAAAAAGGTATTTGGTATCCTCCCCATTGAGGGCCAAGCATATTTGCATGATACAGTACCGTCATGATCTTCTTCCAATCAAAACTAAAGTAAAACTACTCAATCATGTCATCATAAATACTTAAAAACCACTATAAAAAAAAAAGTAGCCAGGAAGCCAATTTTATGACTAAAATGGTAGAAAATATCTGCTCCAGCCTGACAAATAATGTCTTCAAAAGGCAGCTCTTGTGTAACCAAATAAAATTAAATTCTTATCGTAAAACCTGAAGCAATAATAACCACGCGGGGAGGATATTAATATGAGCAAATCGCTGGCAACTCGAAAACTCTTACTTTAAAAGCGACTACAAAGGAGACCTTTTGTCTGCAGACAAAGTGTCTCCATCCTTGAATCCAACCGCCTCATCCATTATGTTTATTTGGCTTTGACCCCGTAATACAAGACTCACATTGGTTATGTCGATGAAAGCGGTCCTCTTCTTAGGGGCTCCATGAGGAGGGGAGGAGGACCTCTTCACCTGTGGGCCTTCCTCCTGCAACACAACAACAGGGGGGAAACACACAAATCACATGCATGCACAAGGCTGCACGAACAAAAGGAATTGCTTGCATTTTTTTTGCAGAATTCTTATTATTATCTTTAAAGTCATGAACTTCTGAGGAACAGCTGCTGCAATGGTTACTTTGTTTACAGCTTTTCCACTGTTGCAAGCTGGTTTTTCAGAGTAAAATGCATTGGTTTTTTTGTACCTGGTTCTCGGTGGTTGTTGCAGTTTGTAGCTTGGGTATCTTGCTCCCAGCGGTGACTGTGGGTTTCTTTCCCCTCGGAAAAGGCATGGCTGTCTCCTTTATCCTCAGACAACAAAACTCCGCAGCGGTTGCACGGTGGTCTGCTTTGCAAACAAAACAAATAAAAAAAAAAAATATCGGTTATTAAAAGTGCTGTATTTTAGCAAAAAGCTGGATATCAAAGCCAGATTCACTATTATGCCTCTTTGTGTTAGCGAGGATGGGGTTTCCTCTCACGTGAACCGCCCCTGCAGTGGAAATAAAGAGCAAAAACAATCGCTCAAACTTGTTTTTCTCTTACCTTCCTCAACAGTTCCTGCTGGTTCGACTTTAAGACCGAGAAACACCGCAAGCAGCGCGTTTTTAAGCGTTGTAAACAGTCCAGTTTCTAGCTGTGTTGCTTCGTAGACGAGAGCTCAAACAAAAGTGTTTCAGCTTCGCAATCCAAATCTGCTGCGCCTCGCTCCCATTGGCTGGGATTTGAGCCGGCGGACCAATCAGGGAGTCGCTAAGGATGCCGTTGCTAGGGAGCGTTGGTTTCGGTGTAACGGCTGCGCCCAAGTGCGTAGCTATCGTAGATGGCGATTACCAAAAAAAATAACTCATTACACGCCAAAAAAGTTATTAAATAAGTTGTTATAAACTCGTTTATGTTACGTACTTGAGTAAGTGTGTTATTATTGTGAAGCGAATAATGAAATATTTACGGCGAGCTATTACACAAATAAGTTCCGCCCACGTCGCTGCAGGGGTGGAGAAATCCAACGAACCCCGGAGGAGGAGCGTGTGGAACTTTCAAACATCCTGGCAACCGGCAGCAGTTTAAACGTTGTATTTAACTGACGGTGATGGACACGTGATATAGATTAGTCCCTCATACATTCCCTGTTGTTTTTATTTATAATCGGTATTTATGTGTTTGTTTACATTAGTTTTTTTACCATTATATGATCTGTGTCTTCTCTATAATGTATGAAAAATAGAAATATAGAGAAATAAATAGACCCAGGTCCTCATTTTCATTATGTAATTCAAACTGAACCATGAAAGCCAGAATTACTTAATTAATTTAAGTATGAATTACAAGATTTTGATGAGAAACGGCTGAAAACTCCACAAAAAGAGACAGTAAGTGGACCTTGAGTAACTAATATTTGTTTAAAGATGTTTTAATCTGTAATCTGCAACAAAGAACACCACAATCTTTAAAAAAAACCATTTTTATTTGTTTAATATAGCACATACTGTGGAATACATTTACTTTGTATATATTAGCATATATTGTGTATATATTTTCCAGTTTATATTTATTTTTTACTTATATTCATATAATATATACATTTCTACTCTATATATTGTGTTAGGTGTTGTAATATAAGTATTATTTCTATTCTTTAACATTGTGTGTGTAGAACAACTGTAACAAACTAATTTCCCCCCAGTCATCAATAAAGTATTTCTGATTCTGATTCAGATTTTTTAAATAAAAACATTTAAAATCAGGCGTTACCATACGTATCCTGACACAGGGGTTACGATTCAATATATTGCGATTTAATAACAATCAATACAATAAATGTCTGTCAAAGACCCTAAAAGGACTTTTTATTTTGTGTTGATTCTTTTGCCCCCTGTGGACACAGGCAGTAGTGTTCCCACCACCTCCTCTCATTGATTTCAAGGGGAATGCGACTGAAATTACCTCTATATAGAACTTTACAGAAGCAGCCAATATTATCGCCGATGGTCCTGTTTGCTCATGTAGGTCATATAGAGGCATCAGTGTTAAAAAATAAGACATAATGTGGAATAAAAGCCTCACAAAAGGAAGAATAGCAGGTTTTGTAAGGCAGATTTTCAACTCGCTTGCGTAACGAAGGCCCTTGGCGTGTCACGATGTCCCCTCAGGCAGTCGTACAGGACTGAAAAACCCTTAAAATCTCTTTCAAATGATCACGTTGAGCAATGAGCTCACCGACACACTGATGAGTATTTCCTGAAGTGGAGCAGAGAGAGCGCAGAGGGCCTTCTGGGGCCCACAACACGGAGTTACTGCAGTAACAGTTTGAATAATAGCGGGTCATAAAATCACACTTGTGCACTCGGAGGGCAGGCTTGGGACGGACGCCGGCCGGGGGAAGCTGGCAGCTAACATCCATCTAGCTGCCATGAGTTTTGGGAGGGTCATCATTGAGTGTGAATAACGGGAACAGACGCCGTAAAGTGCATCTCGGTCTTGTTAAGAGACTTCATTTTAAATCCTCTCCTGACCTGATGCACACTATCAGTGCCACATAGCGCTGTGTAATCTCTGAATACACCCTGTTATAAAGTCTCTCCGGACACGCCGTCAACCACCATAAAAAATGAGTTTGCGTTCGCTGTATTTGAACAGGATACTGTAACGCTGCTTCAAGGCCCTGCGGTTCATGCAAGTGCAATCTGGCGTCTAATGAAGTCTGCAGAGAGATATCATCTCACAGCACTGCTTTTATTTCATCCACCAACTTCTCCTCCATCCCCTCCTCCTCCGTTGTTCTCATCCAAGATTATAAAAAAGAGTGTGTCTACATCAAGAGCTGGGAGGACGAGTTTTATTATTCTTAGGATTTTGGTTGCAGGTTTCAGACTCTAAATTCAGGGTCATGGAAGTTAAATTACACAGTTTTGTGGGATTGTCCTGTGACGGGATGTAAATAAGTACATTCACTCTACTTGTATTCTTCTTCACTATGTTCTTATGTTACTTATGCTGGTTAAAATTGATTTTTACTTCACTACGAGTACTTAACAGCTTTAGTTACTGTACAAATTAAGATTTTCTTTCATATAAAACACATGAAGAGCTTATAAAATATGTTTTAAATTAAACTACCTGACATATATGTTGATATCACGGTTGCAGCTTCTCAAATGGGAATATTTGCTGCTTTTCCTTTTAATTATTTATAATGTATTGTTAATAATAATTCACATTTATCATAAAATAACACATGAATGGATAAATAACCAACTATAACTTAGTAGTTAGTATTGCACGAGTAATCTAAAATAAATAATAGTTAAACACTCATTGAGTACTTTTATTTTTAATATTTTAAGTACATTTCCCTGATTATACTTAAAAACCTTTACTTAAATCAACATTTTCAGGACTTAAAGCAGATTATTTTTTACTATTTTACTAAAGTAAAGGAACAAATACTTCCTCCACCTCTGGAACTTATATTTAAAATACTATTTCTGGTCTGATTCTGACTCTTCCTCCTCCCCCATCCTCTCCTCCTCCTCTTCTTCTTCTTCCTCTCACGACCATCTCTTCCTCATCTTGACCCCATGAACAAAAGGGAAAGAATGATTCTTCTATAAACCCAGAGGGGGATTATATCATGTGTATGTCATGTTGTCAGTGAGTTAGACTACTGCAAATACACCACACACACACACACACACACACACACACACACACACACACACACAGGAAGTGAGTGAAACTTTTGAGGCCATTTGTCAAACCATTTCCGTGTAAACTCACTCGCTCCGGAGACACCAAAAAGCGAACCATCGCCCCTGTTACTGACTGGTAAGTGGGTCCCCAGGCGCTTTATATACGCCACCTGATGCTTTCTGTGTCTTGTTCTCGTATTTTATAGCACATTTATGTAACTTTTGGCTTTAGTTTTACCCAATTTGCTTAAAAAAATTGCCTTTTGAGTTAGTAGTTACCCTCTTTTTTTGATCTGCCATACTTCATAAATCTTAAAATGCAGGTTTACTAGCCTCTTTTTGGTTAGAAAATCTACTTTTGTTGTGTTAAATCTCTGCATTTCTTTGTGTTTTTTGTGGGATAACAGAGTTTTTTTTTTGCAATATAGCAAAAAAAAGATGATAGTTTTGGTAATTCACAACAAAAGCGGATTGTAAAACCTAAAATACTCCCTTGACTAAGAAACACTGACAAAGGGTGTGGCAGAAACACAGATTTTAATAAAAGGTCAACAGAGGGATTGCATTTCCAACATGTTTGTGCCGGTCACTGCGAGCACCGCACAGAGACGTGTGGCGAGGTGTTGTTAAAAAGAAGTAAGTGGCATTTGTTTAGACAGCGGTTGCGTAACACAAGAACACCCAGGAATAAAGTAGTAGAAGAAGCATCCTCAGATCATAAACATTTTTTGCCCGCCAGGATGTCTAAAGCCTGGACTGCCAAGAGAAAACATTCTTTGTTTCAGCTGTAATTTGTTCCACATCTGCGCTTCATTTTCTATCTTGTCCTCCTCCCTGGGCTGTGTCCATTTTGAACTCACACCAAGAGACTACAAAACGTTTGCTCAAGTTACTTCCAAAAGTTACTTTGGCTGCAAGAAGAATGAGCTCAGACAGAAACTGTATGAGTAAAGTGTGTGTGTGTGTGTGTGTGTGTGTGTGTGCCACCACATGAGTATGTTGGATTTGAACCTGAAGTTCTTATACAGTAGTAATAGTAAAAGAAAAGTACAGTAGTTGAACCCAAGAAGAAGACGAGGAAGTGTGAAGTTCAGTTTCACATTACTTTCTCATCTACTTCATTAAGTTCCTCAATCGGGAAACGTCCTAAAACTCAACCTACTTAGCATAAACTGTATTTTGAGTTGTTTAAATAAGTATATTTGATGATATTTTAATTGCATTTTGTCTGCTAGCTAGACAAAGATTCACAAACCTTGAGACAGAAAGGTCAACAAATAGGAACGTTAAGCAAGGGTTCATTTCAATTAGCCAACTTCTGCTACAGCTAGCATGCAAAATGTCAAACTGAAAATGTATTTTATTGCTTTGAAATTACAACTAATCAATAAATAACCAATTTGAGCATCATTTTAAAAGCTTGAAGAAATAGTTTGACATTTATTTACTGTCTTACCAAGCTGTTAAACGCTTCGTGTCAGGCACAAAATCCCCCATAAAACCACAATGTGTCATCTTTACACTTCAGTTTTTGTGCGACTTAAACAGATATTATTAGCTTTATTCAGAGCCAGGCTAACTGTTTCCACTGGTTTCCATTCTTTGTGCTAAGCTAAGCTACGTGGCCTTGAGCTTTCTCATCTAACTGTTGCACTTATGTGGAAATCATTTCAAGAATCCCCGAGCAAAATAAAGTCTGTACTTTATTCATAAGACTGACAAACAGCAAACAAACATATCAGCACGACTTTGTGACTCTAAGCCCCGAGAGAGCAATGATAGCTTGTATGAGTTTCCATGTTGTCTCACATAAATAAGTCATTGCACTAACACACACTCGCAGGATATGAAAACCAACACTTGTTTTCTGAATCAGAAAACTTTGGCGAAACAAAGCCCCTTTCAAACATTCATGTGTCCATCCAAAGCTTTCTTTTTTTTCCACCCATCCTATTGAAATGGACACAGATGTCTCGTTTTCCGTTTGCATCACAGATCAATAACATATTACTGTTCGTGTAATATTATAATAGTTATCAAAACAAAAAAAGCTCCACCTCAATCAACTACAGATGCTTATAAAGAAACGACAGGTTGCTGCCGTGGACGCCAGCAGAGTTCCTTTGTGTTAATCTAATACCGAACTGAACTTCCTGCTTGTCACATCCTGGCGAGCTGACAGCTCATATGGTGACAGTCTGCGGTCGAGGCCTCAATCTTACTTTCCATCTGAGGGCTTTTCGGAGGGGACTTTTTCTTCTTTGTGTCCCTGTGTTTTCTTTCTCTTACATGTACACCATACTCCCGATTACTTACGCTCTCTTTTGTTTTCTTGTACATACAGAAAAACGTTCTTTTCAATTTGCAGCTTATCTATTTCGGCTCTAATCTGAAACAGGCGAGGAATGTAGAAATATTTGTAGAGGAGAGACTAAAAGGGAAACACTGCGCCATTTAGGGGAAATATTTATGTTTGCTTGGCTTAAACTGAACATGCTGGCAAGCGACATTCTAATAAAAATGCATAAAAAAACGAGCTAATTATAGGAACAAGGCAGCACTTAAAACCATTTTTGGACTATTTTCTGTGCCTGTGCCTTGTTTTTGGCCTTCACCATCTTCTTGCTGCAGAAAAAAAAACAGATTTTTCCTTCACTATGACTAAGATTATTGCTTTTATCCTCACAGGCTCCGATGCAGGCAGTGAGAGTAGATCCGAGGGTGCCAGAGCCCACTCCAGAAAACGTTTCTGAAGGCCTCAAGAGAAGCCACCTGAACAATGGGGTTCTTGAGACGTTTGCCCAAAATATGACAGAGAACATTATCCAGTCGTTTGTAAGCCAAATGGAAATGGTGGAACCTGAGGTGGACTGCAGCGTGTCCAGGTTTACTCAGAACCGGGAGATGTTAGCCGAGGGGTTAGCCTCAGCTGTGATTGAGGCTGCTTTGAGGGAGGCGTGTAGAGGTCAAAATGTGGAGGATCTCCGAGAAGGTCTCCAGAGTTCAAGATCAGCCTGGGTGAAGATGAAAGGTGGACGGGTTAAAAGTTCGATGGACGACTTCGAGAGTGAAAGAGACTTTTCGGAGATGGACACAGAGATGGATCCAGGCAAAGACATCCAGACTTCCAAAGACACCCAAACCTTCCACCCACCTCTGTCCCAGTCGGGGCTCCCTGTCGTGGGATCCCTCGACTACCCCGACGCCCCTCCAACCACGCCGCTCCTCCCAGAACTTGAAAGGAGCAGACACAGTTTCGCCAGGAAGCTAAAAGGAGGCTTGGCAAAGGTTTTCCTGCCTTCACCTCCTCCGCCAACGCCCAAGGACATAGAGGGCGACTCGGATGATGCCGTCGATGACGCCCGGGTGGAGCTGATGGAGCATCTGATGCACTCGCTGCCCACAGATGACTCGGCGAGAGACTACTTTGAAGTAGGAACTTACCACGAAGCCCACGTGGAGGCTTTCGCAGAGGCTGTTTCGTGCGACATCATCGACTGGGTCTTGAGCGGTAAAACCAGAGAGCAGGTAGCCGACGACAGCGATCTTCACCTACTGGCGCGCCAGATGGCTGAAACCATCATCGCCTCCTCTCTTGATGAAGCTAAAATCCTTTTCTAGTGTTTTCATGTGACTAATATATTTGTGATGACTGGCGTGTAGACTCGCTTGATATCCACCCACACAATAATATTGTTCTATAATCTCAGTGCTTTGACTAAATTTATTTCTCTATAAAGTTCAGCTGAAGTTCTTCCAGATGAAGAGTTTAATGTATAAATATCACCTATTTAACGCAGGAACTGACCAGATGATCCAACAAAGAGATGGCTGACGTAGTTAAAACAAACCGCGGAACTCGCAGTGACACATGGATCGCGGAGGTTGTATATTTTAGATACCGGATGATGAACCTGAGGTCGTTGTTTTTGGTGGAGAAGAAGGACTTTGGCAGGGACACTCTTATGGTTTTGAATGCAGTTTTGACTGAGATCCAACTGCAGTAACTATAAATGTCCTTTAGATGGCAACACAGGAGCAATGTGTGTGTGCAATGGGTATTTTCAGCATAAGGTCAGACATCAATTGGATTTAATTTAATTGTTTTTATATTAATATGCAAGTCAGATTATTGAAGCTCTATTGTTTATAACTTGTTTTTTATTTGTGTTTTTTGATCAGATCTATTCAAATAAAGCCTTTATTTTTTAATATTAACTGTACTTTTCTTGCACTTTTCTACACCGTTTCATAATCGAGTGAGATGTTTGGAAGTTATTTGCCCTTGTTATCGGCCTGAAAGATCTTTATGGATTCAGTGTGATTCATTCATCCCCTGGACCGAGCTGAATGTTTGGCATTTAGGATGTTCTGGCTCGAAGAAAACAAATTTTCATACTCACTTACCGAGGTCAGATCCGGAAGAAGAAGGAGCCACGGTGCTTAACCAAATAGTGATGTGATCCTGTAGAGGAATTTTAAAAAAAATAAAAAGAGAGAGAGAGAGAGAGAGAGAGAGAGAGAGAGACTTGTTTTTCTTTCCTTTCTTTAAATCGTTAGCCACTAAAATAACACAGTGAGAGAATGCCAGATTCAATGAAAGAGGAGCTTAAGTGAACCTTGAAAGAGCAGTCTTTAATAAAGAGTTGTATTGTTCTTAGTCATCTGTTATTGAACACAACGCACACATTTCGCCGACTGAAGAGAGAATGGTTTTGCAGGACGGGTCACAAACACACAGTTTGCACGTGTGCAGAAACAGATCTGAAAAACAATACAAAGAACTTTTCCTCTCTCTCTCTCTCTCTCTCTCTCTCTCTCTCTCTCTCTCTCTTTTAAACACAGATGGGGTGAGTGGGAAAAACAAAGTCACTGGGTGCACATCATTAGGAGTGTGTGTTATCGCTGACAACTTAATCTGGGTGTGACGAAAATGGATCAACAAGGAGTTTTGGCACAAGCTAATAGCAGATAAATAAGGGCTCCATTCCATTTTGGATTAGCACGCTTAAATCCTCAAAACCTATCAAACTGGCATGAAATTTTATGTAAGCATTCATGCTCCCGAGAGGATGGACGCTATTGATTTTTTCTTCTAGCACCACCACGAGGTTCACACTTGTGGTTTTAAGTGAAATGTCTAAACAACGGTTGGATGGATTGCCGGGAAGTCTGATGCAGGCATTAATGTCCCTTTTATGATTTGTAATAACTTTGGTAATCCCTTCACTTTTTAATCTCCATCATCAGGTCATAGTGTTTACTTGTCCAATACTTTGAAATGTTATGAGTGATGAAATATGGAATTTGGAAAGGAATTTGAAAGCTTCTCAGATGTCAAAACACTTCCACAGGGGTTCATAATAATAGGATTTTACAACACTGGAAACTTATGACTTCTTCTGCAGCAGTTGCACCAGGAATGTGCCCTTGCATGTGCTCAACTTCTTTGCATCGACTCCACCGCTACAACCACTGGACTGACCTTCAAATGAATGACAGGGTTGGGTTTCTTCGCAGTTGACCAACGTGGTAAAAGTAATCTGTTCAACTTCAGCGTGTTAACATTGTGATTGTGAGCATTTAGCATGCTGATGTTTGCAAAAGTACAGCCGTTGACAGATATAAGAAACATTCAACTCTCCAAAAGTGAAGCCAAAACCAATTTTAACGCCCTCTGGTGGCTGACTGCATGTATAGGTCTTAAAGTCTGCTGCCTTTTCTGATAAATTTGGGTTTTAATTAGTTATTTGAAGCTATAAAAAGGGAGTTTCACATCCTGCTTGTGACTGAGTCGGCCGGGCTTGACTTCGATACTGCGGCGCCAACCGGATCACTACTGCGCCGACTCTGGCACCGAATGCTACGCAGCGTTACTGTGGGAGGATCTAAATTTAGCATCAACACTACATTTAATTGTTTATTACAAGTACAATTAGCTAAAGGAATATTTCACTCTAAATATAAGACATTTTAACTGCTGTTTTCTTAAAGATTTTTTGGGCCAAATGCTGCTAAACGTAGCTGTTAATTTGAGCCACGTAAGCACACAAACGTCGATCTGGCTGTGGTGTGCAATGGTCCCTTGGGTCTGATACATGATATGTCATGGGATGCTTAGTCTGAACTTTTTAACTCCCCCTGCTGATCACCATTATGTTTTCTCACCGCAGGACACTGACTGACACGCTCACACTCGTGCACACATGCACATAGATAAACTGCAGGGCTGGGTGGACAGCTGTGGTGTCAGAGGGGAGACGCACACACACACATGAACACACACATCTGGAGAAATGCTTGTTGTGTTGTCAGGTGGTTGGCTGCCAGAAAGAGAGGGAGGCGATGGAAAAGAGGAAAAAAGAGCGATGACACACAGAGGATGTATAGCAGCAGGGTTCCTGCATACTATAATGGGAATAAATGGCAGAAGTACTTAATCTGTGTTTCTGCTTTAGTGGATGGTGAACTCACCTAAAGTCAATTTATTCACCCTTTTTTGTACGTGACACAGTGCTTATCCATCCAGATGTGAAAGGGTATATCTAAATTAACAACATACATCAACATGAGAAGTATTTGGGGAGAACTTAAGATATACAGCAATTATAAATCCTCTATTTGTGTATGTCATAAGTCATTTTTATAAGGAGGTTTCACTCAGCTATGGTGCATAAATACGATCTACATACAATCTCTGATATATGAAGTTACCAGTTTATTTGCATGGAATAACAAGATGAGATCCTAAAATATTAAGTACTTTGAAAAGTTTAATCCATGCCTCATATACAATCAAGCCTCATATACTGTAGACATTTATATATATTTGATATTTAATTCATATTTTCACCTCTTATATATTGAATTTTATATTTCCAGAAGACATCATCGTAGCATCATTAGCATTAACAGTGCTGTTATTGGCCAATTAATGAACATTAGTCTAATTTTTTACTCATTTTCTTGTATCTCCATTTTGGTCTCCAGCTCTTGAGGAAAACATCTGGTTCCTCAGCTGCTCACCAGCTAGTCGCTAACTGTTTGGTGCTGGCCTGGTTATGTAAAACGGGGTTTATCAGAACGTTTTTGCTGTAAACAGCCAAAAACAACATTGTGCATGTCTTGGGAGGGAAACTAAAATGCTCAACAGAGAAACTCCAGGTTTGTCACATGAGTCATGTTGATTAGAGCAGCTTTACTTTTTTATTGCAAAACACTTTTTGGTTTGCAGGAAATTTACTTTCACAATAAAAGGTATTTCTTGCATCACTAAAGTTTTGGCAATTAGTTTCCTCTCTTCGCTCCTGAGGGCACTGCAGATTGCTTTTTACCTATACTCCAGTTTATCTTGTTTGACTGCATCTCTGAGCTGTGCCAGGATCACATAGCTCAGATAATGTGGTGCTACTCCTTTTTTCTGGATCTCTTAGGTCTTCAGTCCCCGGGTTAAAACACTGGAAACAACCTGTAGCATTTGTTTCCATTTCCAAGATGAGTTTTGATCGACCCCATCAGACAGTTCAAGTAGTGTCGGGTCAGATTAAACTCATGTTCAAAATACTAAACCTCTGAACATTTGAAATTATTCAGAGTATTGTGTTGGTCTGATCTCAGAGGAGCTGTAACCTTAAGGCAAAAAGAAATTGGCCTGTAACTGCAGGACTGCTGGTTCCAGTGCTCTGAATGTCTGGGAAAGTGGTGTCCTTCTTTCAGCTTGCATTGAGTTGCCCTTTAGCAATGTGTAAAACCAATAAATGTTCTGTTTGCAGCGTCCAGTTTTGAAGTGAGGGAGCCATTTCAGAAAAGAAACGTTGTGCAGTTGACTGAATTGTCTTATCTAATAAACTAGTTTTCTCCGTTTCTGGACAAACTATTCGACCCAGCGTCAGTGTAGATGCCTACAAGAGCAGAATGCAGGCTCAACTGTTTAAGGAATGTGCCTCTACTTTGAAGAAGAATGATTAAATGTTGTTATACTTCTACAGTATGTGTAACCCTGGAAAAGTGACTGAGATTTGGAAATGTACAACAAACATATTGTCTTTATCATTATTGGAAAGCCTCAGTTTGTGCCTCTCATGTTTTATAACAATTACATACAAGTCACAGAGCTAAGCATCCAATTTTTCCTAAAAATAAATATGTCAATCTTTGAAAAACCCAGAGGGTCGTTTAAGACTTTTACTGCTGTTTCGAAAGTATTTCCAGAATCCTCAAAGACTCTTATAAACATCTGGATGATAAAAATTTAACTTGGCTGTACTCCGGGTTGAGCAGTGCTTTCAGCTAAATGCTAAAGTCAACATGGTCCAAATGACGACAATAATATTGTTTACCATCTTAATTCAGCGTGTGAGCATGCTAACGTTTGCTTATTAGCACTAAACAGAAAGTGCAACCGATGCCGATTCAAATCTTATTAGTTTTGTTTGATATTTGGTCACAAAAGTACTGGGCAAATAAAGATTCATGTGTATGTCTAATATCTAATCTCCATGTTTCACACAAAAACAAAAACGTCAAATCTCTTGGTGCTGCAGTAAAAGTCAGTTGGATAAATCCTCTGGGAACCATGAATGTTTGTACAAAATGTCATCACAATCTTTCAAATAGTTGTTGAGATTTTCAGTCCGGATGTTGTGTTTTCTTCTATTGGAATTCATAATTGCAACCTCTGTGAATCCAGACTAACCACAGGCGTTGTTTCACACTCAAAAGATCGTTTTTTTTAAATTGGTACCTCTGTTGTGGAGGAATTCCTCAAGGATTTTAGACTTTAGTTACTGGAAACTTTCTCCACAGACTACAAGTCGGTTGACAATAATAATAACCTGGGAAAAGAGACAAAAATTTCATTAAGTCAGCCACAGTATTACCAAATAGGATCATTTGCTTCTTTGCAAATCTCAGTGGGATACTTGTCCATGCAGGTATTTGACCAGAGGCATCAGTGCAGGTGCAAAGTTTGGCCGTTTCAGGGGTCAAACTTATGACCTCGCAGACAAAGACACCTTCCACTGGAAGAATCTGCCCTCAAGGAGTCAATTCATCTACAACTTCATCTCTTTCATCTCGACTGCAGGCAGCAGCGTCCACTTCCTGGCCACCAAGACTTGTACTAGATGTATGTGCGTGTCAATTCCCAGTTGGGGGAACAGATGGCTTTAATATCTGGGGTCAGGCCCCTGGAATTCACCAGAGTTTGCTTGAGGAGAACTTGACTTGGGACCATTTTTTTTAGCCCTACACCTGGATCCGACAGCTTTTCATGGATCCAAAAAAAAAGGGATTCTCAGGGCGAGTTGGCTCGAGTTCAGAAAGAGCGCACGGGATCGGGATGCCAAGGAGTTTTTACACTTACTCTAAACAGCACCAAATGAAAAGAGAAAGGAGCAGGGTGCATTAGGGAGTGTCTGTGTTGAATTGGGATGGATTTTCTCACAGTCTCACTTTTGACTTGCTTTCAACCCACTTTGAACCTGGTCCTTTTTAACCAGCGTCCAAAAAGTCCCGTGGCACTATGTTAATTCAAAGCTGTGGGACTGGCAGCGAACCCCGGCTCGCCTGCCTCCCATCTTTGATAAACAGCTATGACTGCTGGGCACACACAGACCGCTTTCCAGCTGTTTGCGGTGATGGAAAGGAAACAAAGGAAAGGACGGGCCAGGAGCACCACAACATTTATCATTTCGATGTTCATTTATTGTGTGTTTTTAATAATATATATGTTAAATGTTCAGGCTCAGGAGATTTTAAGGAGCTCAGCAGTCAGAAAAATAGAGAGGACTGAATCTGAGCCAAACAAGAAAATTAAAATCAGACTGAACACAAGTCAGCTGCAAGCTTAACGGACATGTTCTGACACCTATACATCACTGTAAATGTTTATCTGTGGATCTTAAGAGCACCTGCTGGCTTTTATTTTAAGTGATTGAGAATGGGCAATGCTAAGCTCGTGTACATACATGCATGCTACTTTGAGAGTTTTGGGAACCACCGTTTTTTTTTAAGCTGAACTGTAAACACAGTGTCTGTCTGGAAATATACGAGCTGCATCAAGATTCTGTGTCCGAAGACGACCCAAGATGATAAAGCCGATGCTCGCTGCTCTCTTTGAAGGTGATTTAAGGCAGGATGGAGGCTTTTTCTTACGGACAGCAGTGCAATCTAGATGTTCTGCTTATCTCTCCATGAAGTCTTTTTATGCTAACAATGAACTCAGAGGGGCCTGTCTGCGGCTTTTATGATGGTTTTGGAAAGTGAAGTTCAAATATTTAATTGAGCTACACTTGTTTCACAGAGATAAACTGGAGGGCGACGGGCAAATATTTGCTCTCAAACAGTGTAAAGCTGGACCACTGACGCACAAACAAACAGTGAGGGCAGCAGCTCGGAGAACAAAAAGGAGTGAGAGAGGCGGAAAAATAAGCACTTTGTTTGATTTTGTGCTGAAACAATAGTTTTCAATCTGCCTATTATATAATATTTCAATAATAAATGTTGTTCTTTTTCGACCCATCTTCCCAACCCCAAAGGTATTCTCTTAATTGTTATTATTGAGGACTGAGAAAACTAGCAAATATTCACATTTAAGACACCAGAAATGTTGCTGGTTACTTTTAAGTAGATCAGTTTTCTTCCACTTCTGCTCTGAACTGCTAAGAAAGTCCTGAAGGGACAAAGAGAGAGCGCCCTCTGCCATCTCATCCTGAAACTGAGGCACAGGACGAGAATCAATCAAACCCAAAGTGTCTCAGGAGAAACTAAATAAAAAACATATGACATATGGGTAAGAAATGATGAGCATTTAACCATAAAAGAGACTATATAAATACTATAGAAGCAGGTTGACACTGACATTGATTAGTTTCTGACATATTCGGAAATAAAGAAAGATGCGTTATATAGCCTATATATATTCTTCAAATAGTTGTCCAAAAATATATAAATTGTGGGATATTAGCTCTTAATATTGAGGGTTAAAAGTGAACTTTTAAAAATACATGTTTTACACGCTTTTCTTGTGTGTCGGATTTGGCATGCCTGGAAAGCGCCACTGAAACTGAAAGAGAGAGAGAGAGAGAGAGAGAGAGAGAGAGAGAGAGAGAGAGAGAGAGCATTCCTCCACAGCTCCAGGGTGATGAAGAGGTTAAGCCAGCCCCTCTTTTACTCCTCTCCCTCGGTTGCAGCTCATCAGTCCTGAGCTGCAGCCTCCAGCAGCTCCAATCTCGCCTTTACGCAGCGGACGCTGAACAGACATGGGCAGATCCAAACTTTAACTAACAGCTCGTCTTTCTCTTTCTCTGCAACTCTCTCTCTCTCTCTCTTCCTCCTCTTCTCCTCCCCCTCTCGCCTTCCTCCCGCTGAGCTCAGAATGAAAAGCACTATTGGCAGCGGACGCATGGAGATCTAATTTTGCTCCAATTTTCGGTCAGGTCCGTGGAGGTTGTTGTTGGCTGTTGTTGTTTTGCTGTTCCCTTGGTTTTATGGTCTGCTCATGCAGACGGGAATGCAATGGCCACTCCGAGCGCACAGCAGCAGCACCAGGATTATTTCAGATCGGTGAGCAGCGAGTCCACCACCTACATGATGGTCCCGGCCGGCGGGCCGAGCGGGACGAGGCGCCGGGAAGCGCCGTCCAAGATGTGGGTGGCGATGGTGGTGATAGTGGTGGTGGTGCTGCAGATTGCCTCCACCACGGGGCTCTTTCTCTACCTGAACATGTCCATATCGCAGGTAAGAGCTGGTTTCCACTCACTTTGAGAGCTGATACGCTGTACTTTCTGTACTTTTGTGGGAGTTTGTGCAGGAAAAAGTCGCTCTTGCGCACTGAAATGTGCCAAACGTGCACATTATTCTGCTTCAGTGTACATGCATGACTATTATACAGCTGCTGCAAGTCACAACAGAAACATTACAGACTTGAAAAAGTGAAACTTTTATGTTGGGCGGGGGGGTCAAAGATTTCTGGAAGAGGTTTGTCGAACTTCGCCCCCGCTTATCAGGAGCTTGGAAAACAGCTTTTGCCTGACTGGACTTGTTAAACAATGCAGTCCGAAATTTACAAGGAATCGAAGCGGAGGAAATAAGCAAGAAGTCTGTCTGTCTGTCTGTCTATCTGCCCGGCAGCGATTATCTAACTAAAGAACACATTGCAGCCATTTGCGGAAAGTAGTCCGCAAGATTGCTTTCAAGTAGGTTACAGATGTTGTGTGCAGAGGTGAAATATGCAGGTCGGTGATGGAGGTGCATGGGCTATCGTCTGGAGTTTTATTTAAGCCACTTTGCTCACATAACAGGTAATAACATACTATTGTAAGTAGCCTACATGCAATGTGCCATTCAGAGAAGACCTTAATATGTAAAAGGTATTTTAAAATGTTCCTACAACCTTTAGAGAGGTTTGACCCCTCACTAGAAATCAATTAGCAGAGCTCCCTGTCACTGCTACAGTTAGAGAGAGTGAACACAAGGTGGGTCCTCATCTATCTTTTATTAATGTGCAGTGTAGGGAGGCCGAAATATGGGAGAGGTATAAGCTTATCAGCCAGATGGAAGGTCATATTGTTGTGAGTGCAGCAGACGGGGTCCCTTATTACATCTCTGTTCTCTTTTTCCTCGAGGAATTCAATACTGTGCAGCAGGTTTTAATATATATGATCTACAGCAAGGTGTTACATATGGTTTCTGACACACTTCTTTGGGAATTGTATATATTGGGCTTTTAGAAAACATCTGCAGGGGTGAAGTAGGAAACTGACAACGTATGAATCCCAGCAAGGGGCCTGTTTAAAATGTAAAGCTACTCCGAGAGAGAGAAAGAGGAATGGTTTCAGAGGAGAACTCCCCTGAATCATCTCCACATGACAGTAGACATCTGTAAGAAAGAAGGTAAATGTGTCACGCTCCCCCCCGGTGGTGGGAGATCGCTGTGCAAACCCGAGGCGATGAGTTACACAGGTGCGCACTGTTGAAGACCTCCATCAAGAGACGCGTATCCTGCACCAGAAATGTGGATAATTTAATGCTGACACACAAAACATTTCCTCTTCAAGATAAGGAAGAAGAAAACTGATATCTTAATGCTTTTCCAGACAGTTTTCCATCAGAACCGGTTCAACATTAAGCTTTTGGAGCCGTGTCACTGTTGCCTGTGACTTACATCAGTGAGACGGACAAACGTTTGTACTGAGAGGATCAAATAGGTGACTTTTTCGCTGAGCTGAGCTGATATCTTAAATGAAGTGAGCAACAGGTGGAAACGTCAGCCCAGGTATCTATTGCTAATTTGCTAGTTGCAGATGTTGTTATTGTGCATGAAGCCCTAGAGGAATCCCCAGATACTTCTACAATACACTGCCTTAAATAGTTAAATATTGCATGAAATACATGTTCTTTCCTGTACTAAGGAGATTATTACTGTCTGTAATGACTGTATTTGGCACTGCTTTTTGAAGTTGAGCAATAGCCGGGTAACGTCTGTCTAGGAGAGCCATGATCAGGGCAAACAGACACGTGGGGAAATATGTTGATGATCTGTGCGTAGCTGAACTTTAGGCAACTTCTGGCCTCCCTGTCTTGAGAGGAACATCATAAAAAAGGACAAACGTATCAGAGCTTGACTTTGTCTGCTTCCAATTGGCTTATTGGCATAAAGGCAACAATCCTATCAGCAGCATTGATGAGGTATTATAAACACTTTTAAAAGCGAATTAAAAAGTTAATTTTCGTCCTTGACATATCCGAAGGTGGCAGGAAATCACATAAGGAATAGTTTAGAGACGATACTGGACAGAGGCGAAATGAAAAACACGGAGCTATGTCTCTTGCATGTGGGGAATCCCCTGGTTCTCATGCGAAGGCCAGCTATTTTTAATCTGGAAACAGGCCCTTCTTTGAATCGCAGTAGAAACACACCCCGAATGCCAGCCTGGTTAAGACAAAAAGATACTTGGAAACAATGAAGAGCGCACAATGAGGAATGCTCCAGTGTTGCCTCAGTGCTGTGGCATTCACACACATACACACACACACACACACACACACACACAAACAAATACAAGCATGTAAATACAGAAGCTCCCGGACTCGTGTGTGTGTGTGTGTGTGTGTGTGTGTGTGTGTGTGTGTGTGTGTGTATTACTGCTGGATGAGGCACTTTATACAAAATGGATGTTCACTTTATGCATGAATGTACTTTGAATGTTTTGTGCACATTGTTAGGACAGATCGGAGTTTGAAACGCACAAGCGTGTCTCAGAGGCAGAAATAAATCCATTGAAGTCCATTAAAAAAATAACAGATAAGAGCAGGAACAGAAAAATAATAGACAAGTATTGAGATCGACTAATTATTTGAGTCATTTTCAAGCAAAAAAGCAAAGTTTTTCCTGCACGGAGCTTCTCGATTGTGAGGATTTGCTGCTTTTCTCTGTTCCGTGTGATGATAACCTGAATATCTTTGGCAAAACAAAAGACCTTGGGGCGTTTAGGAAGTTATGACGGGTGATTTTGCTCTTTTTTCTGACATTTTATAGACCAAACAATAAAAAACAACAACTAATACCTAAGATTAACTGATAAAGTTAGGACTTCTCTTAGGTTTATCTGTTCGTTTGTTTGGGCCTTCGCAGTTAAAACGTTCTCATTCTAGTCAATATGCATTCAAGAAGGTTCTCGTTGTTTAAGCCGATGTCATGCTTTGCTCATTTGTTTATGAAATAATAGTTTTTTATATCAGGAAGCTTCTCCTCAGTGGGTTAAAATAAGATCTATAATGTATGAGCACGGTGTTACAGGGTACATCGTATAAGCTCAACGCTACATCCGATATGTTTCTCGTACTGTAGATCAAACGCGTCCTTTAATATATTTCTGAAGAGGTTCTTCTTTACATGCTGATATCTTTCTCATCTCTGTGGATGTAAAAACTGGACTGAAGGGATGAAACTGTATTAGCCATGTTTCAGCTGCAGTTCCAGTCAGTTTTATATCAGCATCAAAAACTTGATTAAAACTTGCACGTTTTATGACTTCCTTCGTCTGGGTCACGAGCTTCCAGTAACAGTTACAGTATTATAGTTTATATTAATCTGTAGTCTGTGTGAGCCTTTGATGTTGGGTTTTGCGATATACAGCGGTCGTACGTGTGCACGTCTTCGGCGTGACGGTCAGAAGATTTAAGTCTCACGAGCCGTTTGTGTTGATCGGTGTGAAATTTGGGGGGTTTTCTGTGTTATCTGAGTGTGTGTGTGTGTGTGATTGGCATTCCAATCCTTACAGTTCACTGGTCCACTTTATTATTGTTTGGGTTCACTGATAGGCTCTGACTCACCCTTACATGCAACAATACACCCCGTGTATGTGTGTGTGTGTGTGTGTGTGTGTGTGTGTGTGTGTGTGTGTGTGTGTGTGTGTGTGTGTGGTCTGAATCACAGAGACGTTTGAGCTTAAAGTGAATGTTTGTTAGGGTGTGTGTGTGTATGTGTGTAAGATATGTGTGTGTGGTCTGCTTAGCCCCTCAAAAAAATTTAAATTTTTTGTGTTTGGGGGATTTAATGAGTATGATCTTGTGAATTTTAATCTGTGTGATGACAAGATGACCTTCAGGCACCAAAAAGATAAAGAAAATCCTCCAAAATATTGACAATTTTCTGGTCGACAAAGAAACCGACATAAGTAGTTTTTGGCTTACGTTCAGGATCACAGTCAAATTTTAGGTTGGATTAGATGTTCGGGTTTGGCTACAGTAGGTTAACTCTTAAAGTTACACAACTTTGAAGTAGATAGTGTAATCTGGGTTATATCAGAGGACCTCAGACAACCATATAATTAAATGTTTTACAGTCAACAGGACTTAACTCACATGGATAATTTCTGCAGTTCTTCAGTGCGAACTGATAAATTCACGAGTTATCTACTCAGTTTTGTGTTTAAGGTGAGTTCAGTACAGGCAACAATAGATACATGCAGCGATTACCTGATTAATTTATTAACCGATCAACAGAAAGTGAATGAGCAGCTATTTTGATAATCAAATAGTTCAAAATTGTTGGAAGATTTTGTAGTAAAGTGAATATCTTTGGGTTTTGGACTGTTGGTCAGACAAAACAAGACATTTAGGGATTTGACACTTTCTAGACAAATGATTGAGATAATCAAGATAAAGGTGATTTTCAACCATATATACAGGAGTATAGATCATTTGTGAGACGATTAACTGTATTGTTGGGGTTGTTTCAGTTTGAACTACCCCGCAGACACTTCACAAATCCACTTACCTTTCCAGACTCCCCTGGAAGTTCAGGTGATATCCTTATGTCGTCCTAGTGATCTAAGAGGCATACCTTGTATGTATTTGATAGCTGAAGCAGAAAAACAATCTGTGTAGTGTTATTAGATAGTGACTGAGGAGAGAGAGGAGGGGGTTTGACATTCAACAGAGGTCCCACAGCTAGAAACGAACCAGGGACGTTGCGGTTGTATGCTTCACGCCTTAACCGCTACACCACATACTGCTTGAATTTCAGAGTTGGCGTTACACGACCTCAGCTGTTTTGGTTACTGCCTACGTGTTTCCTGCGGCTCTCGCTGACAGTGAGTGCATCTGAGTCGGCCACTGAATCCACTGACACAACATCTGGTCGCAGGAACATGTGGCACTTCAGGAGAGTGGAAGTGAGCCACGAGATCTGGCCGGCACCTGCTAAAAAGCTCCCTGCTAAACTCAACTAAAGC